AAATATCTCCATTGATTGGTCGAGCTACAGTTCTGGTTAATTGATAAAATCAAGTAAAAGAGAAAGAAGAATTACCAAATCTTGCAGGATGATTGGTCGAGCTACAGTTCTGGTTAATTGATAAAATCAAGTAAAAGAGAAAGAAGAATTACCAATAAAATCTTGCAGGAATCAGACTCGCAACTTTCAGCATCGTATAACTTAATTTCCAAATCACTACAGGAAAATGTATTTTGCACTAACCAAAAAGCTTCATCTATATCTTTACATCACAACCAATTCTTTGAAGGTTTAAGTCTAGCTGTGAAGTATGTTTAGAATTACGAACACTTTTTAAGTGCCTGTCAGTCTTACAAGTACATCAGGATAAATTCATAAATCTCGTATCACAACTCTTACCTGGCTTGTACAAATGCGGTACTTTTGGGTGTGCATACTTGGCTGCTATGTCTGGATTACTCAACAAACGGTGTACAACAAAACGAGACAGCCCCACCACATCAGCATTTGACTGTACGTTGATAATTTCTCCATATACGGTCTGAAAAATGAAGAAACCGTTTACACAAGTTCCAAGAAATTTAACTATCTTTACACTCTTCCTTAAAATATATAAAAACAAATAAACTAGGAATCTATTTTAATAACTATTCCTTTTTTTTTACTAGTACAATCAACCTGTAATTGAAATTTAGCATCTATAAAGCTGACACTGACAGACATTCCAAAACAAGATCTATGTCCTAGAGAAATTATTTTAAACAGTCTCATTAATCTATTAAAATGTAAAAGTAAGTTCATTTACTTGAAACAGGAAGTATTCTTCTTTCTATATAACATTTTACTCACTGCTATTAATGAAACTGTTTCTATTCAAGATGTATATAATACTAAGTGCATACTAAACAAAGTAGAATCCTATCTTACTGTTGAATGAATTCCAGCATATTTCAACATACTAAAACTGCCAAATATGTATAGAAGAAGTACAATAATAGTAGTGATTACAAAAAAGTATATGGCATTGTTTACCAACCTCAAGTCCTATTCTCAACCAGAGAGGATTATAGCATAACAGCATGTCCAATATGTTTTGTTTAATGCCTGAAAATACAATGTAAAAACAATATTTAAACTCCAACTAAAGTGGATGTGTTTTATTTAAAGTCTGTAAATAAATGAAATGTCCCGTTTTGTTACATTTAAAGTAAAGATCTCGTCACGTACATTCTAACAAAGATAGTGCAACATTACCAAAATAGAGTGAATATTTTTTTGCTGGTAATTAACCTGAAGAAATTAACCAAAGACTGTTTCACTACAATAATTATGTGTTAAGACTAATTAGGGTTACCAACTCTTTTGATTTCAACCAATACAAACCAAAGTTAAGCTTGGGATGAATAAAGTTTTACACATCACATGAAACACTCTCGCATTTGTTGCATTGAAAAGGAGACCCTACCTTGACCCAGTCATTATTGAAAATATTTTGTGAATTTCCTAATGTCCTTTACTAACTTCAGAAAGTAAAAAAGAAACTCAAAATCCAGTATTCTTTTACCCACCAACATCAGCATGTAATGCTTTGTCCTTTCTTATGATAAGTCTTCCAGTTTCTATTTCCACTTCTAATCGAGATATTACAAGAATGACTGGACTTGACTGGTAAAGCAAACAGGCTGCTCGTCGAAGGCGATTCAGCTGCCTCACGGCAGTGTAAGCTTTTAAGGACATGTCTTCCTTGGTTGGTGCTCGGACTAAAGTTGTGTCTCTCACGCTCTCCACCCACAGCTTAGCAGCATCCACTAAACCAAAAACAAGCTACTCAAAATGTATTATTTTTGACTTAACACTAAAACTGGTTAATAAGATTTATTCTTCACGAAGATGGAGGGTACTGTGCCAAGGTGTTTTATACTACTTTTTTACTTTTAGAAACAACACATATATCCACAATTTTTGAAGCTACCTACATTTATTTATTTCCTATCCCTAGTTTGCAATAAAAAAAACTGAACTTAAGTAGTAAATAAAGAAGATATTATAAATTGACCAAATGCTGCCAGAAGTTTGTCTGTGGACTTTGAAATAGTTTACATTTTATTATGAAATGTATAACATTAGGGATTATGTTTCATTCACGAAATGCTTTCCTCTTCCTGATTGTGAATATTGTTTTTAGCAGTAAGACAGGACGGCTAAATCTTTAGCTTTTGTTTTTTGACATACTGTGGAACACAGTGTTGATGTGGGCTCCATTTGCCTCAGCAAAATCATCCTTCAAGCATCAAACTATTCATTCATTGAAGCTTAGTAGAAGTAAAATAATTTGTTAAATTATCTCACACACACACACACACACACACAGTTTATTAGAGTTTCTGAACAGTTTGTACTTGCTGTGTGGAGGGTGGATAATCACACCCCAACCAGCAGCTCTTACATCTTGGTGAAGACTGTGGGACTCGTAGGAATCTCAAAGTTGTCTGTGTTGTTTTGATAATTTGGTTATGACATAATTTATATCAAAACTACAGAAAATCTCGCAAAGTTCCCCTGAAATAAATGTTTTTATCTGCAAAAAAATAAATATATCAACCTTGCTTAAAATCGCTCCTGTAATTCTTTGACGCTAAACGGAATTGCTGTTGGTTTATGGTAAACATCAATATATTTTCTCTGACAAACAAACAAACTTGCCTTTAACAACCTGTTCAGAGGAAGAAAGCCCTTCTGGTGGTGTGAGAACAAAGTTTAGCCATCTTGTAAAACAAAGTTCTTGTTTTTCCTTCCAACGTTCATCATAGTACGTGTTTTTGGCAGCAAAAGGATTAGGATGATGAACAATTTCTGTAAGAGCCAAATATTTAACAGTTTAAACACTAGATCACTTTTTTAAAACCATAACTGAGTATTACATAAAGCACAGAATACACAGCTTTGTAGTATGATAAGACTGCTTTCACCATTCGGCTTTACTCAATAGGAACAAATTAATGTTATCAGCACCATTGTTTACCTATACATCTCATAATGGAAGAAGAAAAAAATAATAATACCACCAGTGTTTGCTTTAACAGTACTCTTTCCCGACCAGATCGAGATATAACACCATTCCTGAACACAACGATGACACTAATTTGATCAGTACTTTTCACTTCATGTAATTAACCCATTAACTGAGGATGACGGATATTTCCGTCATTGAAGTTCTATGGCTCAGCCGCGACTGACGGATATTTCCGTCAGTCGCACATGAGTATAACTCTATGCGAATGACGAAAATTACCATTTTACTGCGATTGATGGCAACTCAGTTTTATCTGCGAGTCAGAAAATGGCAACTGAGCTGCTCCTGCTGCTGTTAATGGGTTAATGATGAAGATAAAACATTATGTAACTATTAAATACAGCACAGTATAAATCTCAGATATTTGAAGAAAATGTAAATTATCATGAAATACTACTGTGTATATATACAAGTTCATAGATTAAATATTTCATCAGAACTTTCATTCATTAATTTTCACATGTTCATGAGAAGTGTATCGTCTCAAAAACTTCACTTGAATTTGTGACTAAAATTAGGAAAACAATGCAGAAAAGCAGCATTTATATGAATAATTATTCGAGAAGGCATTTCGTAAGTACCACAGATTTCAAAAACATGAGACTACAGCTCCCCCTATCCTGAACTGAAGTGTTTTTTTCTTTTAAACTTCAGTCTTAGTTCCTTTTATTAATCAAAAATTAATGATAATTGAAATATTTTTCTTCTAACCTGTTCTTCTTGGTTTAATTAAGGAGAGCTGGGATTGAGGAATACCCTTCATTTTTTGTGTTGCAATACTCACATTCATCCTTGACTTTTGATTTCCTGAGAGAAAAAAAAAAGGATAAAAATAACCAACTGTTGGTCAAATCTATCTCTGTGTCTATATCTAGAATTGCATTTAGAGTATTTAAATTCAGACATTTTTAGATATGAAATGATATCCTTATACTTAACAACTTAATGATTAACAAGCTTGAGCCAGGCCTGGATGCGTTTGGTTCACTCACAGTTAACAACAGTTTAACTAAAAAAATTAACCCAGTAATTAATATAGCTAATTTCATATGCCAGTCTGATTATGAGTATGGAGTGCCATGAAACAAACTTGTAATGATTTATAAAATCAGTATCCCTGCTGTTAATCCAAATAATACCTCACAAGGTTAGGCTAAGTTGGTCCTGAATCTATACACTAAGTTAACAATACGAACTGTCAGCTGCACGTAATGATTTTACTTGGAAATGTACCTGTCATATTTTTTATATGAATATTTGATGTTTATTTCAAAGCTAGAGAGTTGAAATCACTTTGTAGTTGTTTTTTGTTTGTTAGTTTTTAACCTATGATTTATTAATATTTTATATATTCTGCGTAAATTGGTGGCATCATTTGTTGGTTGTTTTTTTTTTCAGTATAATTAATTTGTAATGACTGAACGTTCAGTGTTTTATAACCTCAGTTTCACAAGATGGTTATTGTACTAGACTTTATCTATTTAGTATGTTTGTGACTTTCGTACGAACCAAAAGAGGGTGTATTTTTGTAATTCAGTAATATTTTGAATATGACTATTGTTATCACTGGTGAGAAGCATGGAAAACACTATTGTGAGGAATATGAGAAAGATAAAAGAAATAATATAAAAATCATAGAAACCCAGACCACAAAAATAAATCCAGTCACTGAGAAAAAACAAGGGAACAATGGGAAAACCAGCTCCAACTTTACTTTCACTGCTGTGGTGCCTCCGAACCCGGGCCAAAAGCCTAATAATAACAAGTTGGTGGGAGTGAGAGGTCGTGAAGCGTCAGCTACAGGCTCTCATACGTCTAGACCAATTCCAAAACCTCGGAGGTTTTCTTGTGAAACTGATTTTAATTCCCAGCAAAAAAGTTCAAAGACTAATAACAAAATATCCAATATAAAAATGCACAAATTGTCAACTAAGGCTCAGCATGACAATGGTAAATATAGTTGTATCTACCATTTGATTTTCTTCAATGCCAATTTTTATATCACTATTTTCGTTAATGTATAAACCTTTTTGCATAGTGCCATTACTTTGATTTTATCCACGTTTATCACATAAATAAAATAATAATTGTACTACCATATTCTCTTTCGTCGCCTCTGTGTGCAATACGCGTTTTGACACCTTCATAGGTATTTTCGCATGTCCTAGTGTTTCAACCATAACCTGGAGAAATAGAGGTGCTGACACCTTCAGTATTGAAAACTAACTAAGGTAGTACAGTAGGGATTTGTAAAAATAAGTGACTGTCATTCTTATTTGCAAGTTTTTGTATAAAAATGTAAATTACATTGGTGGTCTACAGTTTGAGTCCTGATAAATCAAATTAAATTCCTTTTTATTTTGTGCATGTCTCTAGCTACGTCCTCTGAATCTACAGGAGTAGGAAACAACTCCCGAGCAGAAGGAGCGGGAGATAGCAGTTGAGAATTAATAACCAAGGAAGGAGGATTTAGCTTTATTCCCGTGCTACAGCGTTTCAAGTTCAAGGGCAATTCTGATTTAAGAAAACTGAAATCTGATACTGAATCTGACAACTCAGTTATCTGGCTTTCTGCAAAGAATGGAGTCAGAGCTGGTTTCGTGGAGTGATCACTTTTCTCCTCTTTCAAGCATGTTTCAGATTCAAGTTGGCCCTTGAGGTCGGAGGTAGAGAGTCGATTACAATGTGGTAAAACTCTTGGAGAAAGAGCGGGTTCTGTGAGAATTACAGTCTCAGAGTTAATTCGTAGTTGGTCTGAGGAGTTAAAACTCTCTGTTTCAGTAGACTTTGATAGCATGCTAGTGTTAGAGTTCACATTCTGCTCTGTGAAAGATGGTCCTTTGACAACAGGCAAGTTGGGAGAAGGAACAGACTCAGAACATGAAATAATCACAGTTTCTGAACTTATTCTTCTCTCTTCAAGAGATGAATTAGTAGCTGGGTTGTTAACTTGAAGAGTGTTTAGTTGGTGCAAACTTTGTGCATTGAAAGATTGACTCGATATCTCTTCTAGAACCATAGAAAGTTTGTAACATTTATGGCCTGCATCTTCTTCTGGAATACTCGGACTAACTATAACTGCAGAACCACTTTGGTCTTTATTTAAAGCAGGTTCAATGGCACTACACTCTTGTGTTGGTTCAGGTTCAGCGACACCACACTGAGATTTTATTCCTTGAAAGAAAATACCACTGGATTCTTTAATTTCTCTATACGATGACTTGAGTTCTACAGACGGGACAGTTGCTTTTCTCTTTTCGTCCTCCAACCCGCTCTTTGTGAAAGGGGAAGGAGGAGTATTCAGGGAATCATCAAATAGAGGGCTATCTTCACCACTTGATGGGGATTGGTTCAAACTGTCTTGCAAACTGTGATGTCTTTGCTTTACGAATGTAGCTCTTCTTAAATCTAGTGTCTTCCCTTTTCTCATGGCTATTTTATTTCTAATACCATTCCTCATCTTGTGAACATCAATGTTTGATAAGCCACAGGCATTATTAGATTTTATTCTACAGAAATAATCAGATCCTTGGTCACTGATATCTTTTACTTGCATCTTTGGCCCTAAGTTCTGATTTGGAGAGAGGTCCTTTAAAACCTGTCGAGGAGAAGCATAACCAGGAGAGTCTAAGAGATAAGTTTGTCTTCTCAGAGGGGTTCCAGGTAACGGAAACTCAACATCCTTTTCTGCAAACCTCCTGGCAACTGGGTCCATAGCCCTTATCTTGGCAGGACTCTCGACATTTTCATCATTAAGTTCTTCAGAACACGTCAACTCTGGCTCCTTTACCTGTCCAAACAACAATAGTGCTTCAGACTCAGTAATTACTTGACCACATTCATTCACGACCAATTCCTGACTCAAAAATGGCCTTTTCTTTGGAGATGACTTAGACTGTTCAACTGCTGATGATACGCAGATGGATTTCTTCTGCTGAGGCACCCACGTTCTCCGGGATTTC